GACGGAGTACATCGAGATGAAATACTACATTTAGTAAGGAATTATAAGCCAAATAAAATATAAAACACCTGCCCTGAAGATAAGGATAGTGCTGACAGATCAACTTCCAATCCGCGGGCGTGAAATTGATAAACAGATTTCGGATTTCAAAACATACTTTCGCTTTGTAGATACAAATTACATATTAGTAAATATATATCGGAAATTCTATTTGACATAATCGAAAGTTCAAGCTTACTTTTATGAAATTGCTCTAACAGTCTGCAAAAAATAATAAGCCGGATCCAATTCGAAGATTAAGGAACAACGCAATCTGCAACATTAACTGAATTTTTAGCTTAGCTTATACCTCCGTTACACATTAAACGCACACATATTCGCGGACGAACACATATTCGCAGACGTTACACATATTCGCAGACGTAAAGGTCTTGCGTGCACTCTTAAACGCCTGTGCGCATGCGTGAACGCGACGCATGCGCAGAAAGTTTGTACCTTTGAGGTCGGGATTATGGGTGTCCGAATTAACGACTTTTGACTGTACTACTACTAGCACCTCAGGTGACCCCGGCAAGGGGATATCTCTCATGGTAAACCTACACAAATACCACAAAAGAATTGCATACGTGTAGAAATGTGTTTATGGCTAAAACGGTGACTAAAAAACAACTGGTTGAAGTCTGTGAATACATTGCAAGTTAAAATACATAAAATTAACACTCTTGTACAAACACAAAAATTAAATATCACGATCAAACATTTTCTAAAACAAATATTTCTGAAAAAGGCAAAAATTAGATAGAATCACCAGAGATAATTTTAGACAGGTTTCATTGTACCCCATGCAATACCAACCTAGTAAGTTTCTAAGTCACAAAACTCTGTGTGGTTTGGAGTAGCTTCATAACGTACATAATGATATGGCAGAAAAGTATAATTATTGATAAAGTAATTCATTGATCAAGTGTATTTTACATGCACAGCCACAATATGCCATGCTATAATAAACTCGGTTAGTTGAGAAAACTACACCAAATCAATGAAAGCTGGTATATTTCAGTATTTTAGGATTTCTTTATCAATAATTTATCAACAAGTTTTCCTGTGAGATACTTTTCCATACTTAAATAAATTTAGAAAAGTGAGTGTATTCTACATAACCATGCCAAATGAAGGGTTAATAATCCCAAAAATTTTATCACTGCATAAAAGTAATCTATTTTTTAGAAATTGTTAAGTATCAAAGTTCCGGATTTTTTAAGCTAATATGAAGAAAATTAAATTTAAAGGTATTCACAAAAGTTAAATCTGTATAAAATTCAATATTTTATAAATGGATTCGGTACAACTCTGATATACGGCCTAATTTCACCAAATGTGGCGATATGTGTTCTGTGCTGGTTTTTGGCGCGATTGCGTGTTGTATGGCAACCCTGTTGACGTTGAAAAATCTTTCGCTGGTTCCCGTCATGCTTAGTGTCTGAGAAGCTAGGGGGAAAAGATATAATGGTGAAAGTTGTTGAATTGAAGTTCGGCAAAAGGAAATATCGTTGTGGCCATCCTGTTGAGGGGCAATGGGTATTTGGAGGTGTGGAAAGAGGGTATGGGAGATTATTTTTAGTGGATGTGCATGATAGAAGTAGGGATTTGTGATTATTTATGAATGAATAATCACAATTTATATAGTATGAATTTTCTGGATAGTGTGTCAGGCTGTCATATAAATATGATAGTGATTACGTGGCGCCATGTTAAAGGCAGTATGAAATTGGTATTTCTGCTGTTCAAAAAAGCATTAATGGTAAGTGCATTTTATTTTATTCTTGTTCTTATTTTGTAGAATGTTATGTTCATTGTTTTTTTAGTATGAATTTCTGTCGTTATTGTTTTTTTTAATTGTTTGAAATTTATTTTAGTTATTTTGTTGATTAGGGCGTACCGTCTAAATTGTGCAATTCGTAGATGTTTTTTAAAGTTGAAACAGAACACTGTGTACATGGTATTCTTTGAAATTTATTGTTGTTATGTTAATTTATTAAAGCGAGGTGTGCGTAGTTCGCAGATTCGTTCATTGCCTAGATTGTGCCATTCGTAGATGTGTTTTTAAGTTAAAACATATCACTGTGTACATGGACTCTTGTCAAATAATTTTGGTTAGAAACTTCACGGGTTTGCTATCTAAATTTTTTGTTTTTGTTTCGGATTTTTAGCTTAAATTGTGTGTTCAAAACATGGTTTTTGCATTCGCGAAAACCATGTTTTTGGAGACATTTTAGGTTTAAAGTTCAAAATGTAGACAAAAAATTTAGATAGCAATATGGCAGCATGGAGTTTCTCGCCAAAAACATTTGGTGAGAAATTTGGCGACTTGAGGGTGCATATCAGAGTACTTCCATGGATTCTAAGCTTTATGTTTTATCAAATTAATTTGACCAATACATACACAGCTTTACAAGAGCTTCTGCTTTTAATTCTTTAATTACCAGAGTATCATTTTTAAATTTATATTTATGCAAAATTCAATCTTATAATAACATTTCTTTTACATAAAAACTATACTTTTCTAGGAAGCATGACTTAAGTTTCTCTTTTTTAGGGAGTAAAAGTAAATAAACATTTAAGAGGAAAATTTCTAATCTAATTTTTCTAATTTTTGATTAAAATCTGCAACTTGACATAAACTTGTATGTTTGTTGTGTGCAATATACATAATAAAAAAAATTGATATTTTCTATTAAAAAATATTTATTTGCACACACATAAACTTTAAAAAAAAAAATGGAAAAAGAAAAAGGAAGGTGAATCAAAATGAATGAAAATTAAGATAACATAATGTGAATTGGTAACATTAAATATTTTTAGATATAACAGTGTGAAATCTGCTAACCTTTGCATAATTGTTAATGGATCCTCACATAAAAAAAACGCTTTAACAGAATGAGATCACTGTAAAACATTTTACTACGAGTTTTAATGTAGTAAAATTTTTCCTCCTTGGACACAAAGATCCGAGCTATTCATCTTCGAATGTCTTTAAAACGTCAACTGGTTGATCTTTACATTATGGTAACTTGGCGATTTTTTGGCGACCAACTCTCCTACAGCAACCCTCTATTTTTTTCCCCCGCCGCCATTTTGTCTTCACGAAGTAAAGACATGTTTCTTTTCTTTTTATCTACTGAACACTTCTTCCAACATAGCCGAATTACACTTACGCTAGAAATTTTATCAAACAAAACTGCTTAATCATGACAAATATTCACTGCAAAATTGGGAACAAGTGCACAATACCATACTCCTTACGCGTTTTTCAAAATAACACATACACATAAACCATGTACACGCCGACTTATTTTTACTTAAAAAAACATCCCAGAATTGCACAAAAATGGCATTGCTCACACTCTTCACTATATCCATGTACACTGCTTTTTTCTCATAAATTAGAAAAATTTCACGAAAATACATGTCAACTTTCTCAATCTTTAAACCCGGTAAAAAGACATATATGAAATTACCTGATCGCGAAAAAGTATTTACCCTTTCCAAATATGAACATTTCCACATATAAATAAATAAAATATCCAAAAACTTTTACCTCTAAATCATCTATTACATTATACACGTCACCAACGAATTCATACCGCAAGCATTACAAATACTTAGTATCAAAAATTTAAATTATTTCCATGCACGTTTACTTCAACTTAAACGTGTACCAAATTCCTACAAACATAAAATTCACAAAATAACTATCATTTAATTAAAATATCACTAAACCATGTACACGTCGACTTATTTTTACTTAAAAAACATCCCAGAATTGCACAAAAATGGCATTGCGCACACTCTTCACTATATCCATGTACACTGCTTTTTTCTCATAAATTAGAAAAACTTCACGAAAATACATGACAATTTTCTCAATCTTTAAACCCGGTAAAAAGAACATATATGAAATTACCTAATAACGAAAAAGTATATACCCTTTCCAAATATGAACATTTCCACGTATAAAATAGATAAAATATCCAAAAACTTTTACCTCTAAATTATTTATTATATTATACATGTCACCAACGAATTCATACCGCAAACATTCCAAATACTTAGTGTCAAATATTTTAATTATTTCCATGCACGTTTACTTCAACTAAAACGTATACCAAATTCCTACAAACATAAAATTCACAAAATAACTATCATTTAATTAAAATATAATTAAATTCAAAAACACTACTTAAAATATAAATGAGCACATACATTAAATTAATACATACATAAATACCCATTTCGAATTCACTTTAGTTACGGCCATGGGATCCAAAATTCACGAACACTGGTTCACACAACACAGAATAAAGCCAAATACAAAATTTCCAGATTTTTTCCCGATTTCCCCCCTTTTCCAATTAAAGAACCGTAATTCGTCCATTAATATCACATGACATATCCCATGATCTCTCATTTCCCTCACACAAAATAATGCGTACTCGGAACTGAGTACTGCTCACATTATTACCAAAGTCCCAGGTTGTAACCTTTATCGCCTCCAAAATGTCGCCAAACTACCAGTTACCATATTGTAAAGATCAACCCGTCAACCTTTCACGTTTTTTTTTTTTTTTCTTTCAAAATAATTATTAAACACTGACTTCAGGGTTTAATCCTAGTATCCGGTGCACACGGGATTTGGCGACTTTATGATGAGCAATAAAAACGGGACATATACGATGAGTAGTAAACGGGTCATTCAAAGAATATATATAGTTATACATAGTATATACTTAATATATAGTGTATAGTATATACATAGACGTTGTTTGGGTATGTATATAGTGTAGTACATAGACGTTGTTTGGGTCATTTTTGGTGTTGGCGATAATTTTCAAAATCACGCCTAGGCTGCACCGTATACTAGGATTTTACCGAGTTCAGATTATGTTGGATATGTCAATGCAAATATTCAAATTTTAAAACATTACAAAAAGATTAACAACCTTTAACAATATTGTAAATGATAGCATCCTCTTCATTTCCATCCAGCTACATTAAAAATAAAAGTATAAACATACAAAATATTAATAAAATCATGAACTTTTATATGCATTTACTTAAATATTATAAAAGCATTGTTCAGTGGTTACAAACCGAATTTAACAAAACTATTAACAAATAAAAAAATATCACAACTCCGACAATGAGTATTGCTACTTGAGAACGAAAGCTTCGACGCTTCGAAAGAAATGATTTAATTTTTCTTAATCCCATTGCTTAATTTCAAGCGATATAATAAAAAATTGCAGTCGCAATTTCATCATGAACTGACAAGTGCCTAAAACTAAACAAAACCGCTTCTAAACTTGTAAACAAATAAAAGTGTTGCCAATCCTCAAAGACCCTATCCTGTTTTGCGGGATTGGCAATAGGTTTAGTTGTTTCACATGAAAGCCTGTAAATAAATTTGAGCTTTGTTTTTAGTAACAGAAGTATAACAAAAAGAAATTTCGTATCCATATAGTTGATATATCGATATATAGTTGACATATATGTTAGCCGATAGTATAAAATTGGAGCAAAGTTCGTAGAACAGCATAGGTGGCAACAATTTGGCTGTGAGTGACATTTTATTATGCCAATCGTAATAAATATAAAAGAAGTACGTCACCGGGAGGCAAGTCTTATTTACCATAATAAGCTTTTTTTCTACCATTTGGCATCAAGAATCGGACATCGCTGGTGGTTCTGGAGGCATCAACCAGTAGAAGTTTTAACCTCTAGTTGGCTTTGTGCTCTGAGGTCTTTGGCTCGAAATAAAAAAATAAGCGCATTTGCGCAACTTAGATTAGTATGCTACTTACTTGTCAATTTAGATTAGTAAGTTAAACAAACATGAAAATATTATTTGCTATACAGAAAATGCAAAATAAATTTGCAACATAATAAACATAGATGAAGTAGATTATACTTCAAGAAACTGTATTCATGCAATGAGGACTTAAAAATTATTTGCGAAGTATATAAATGCGCCAACACTAGAATAATAAAATGCGTTGAGAGTAATAATATGGGTTAAAGTAAGGTACAAACAAAGTCCTATTCCCACTTTGTCGGGAGCAAAGTCCATTTCTTTGCAAGTTATATGAAAGTTGAATACATAATAAATGAAAATGCGAAATGATGTAGCGAATTTAAAACAAAGTCTTAATGCTTTGTCAGTTCAATCTCAGTCTTTAGTCTGAAATCCGATGAGATTTAGTAACTAGAGCAGGGATAAAAACGAGGTTATTGCACTTTTGGCCTGCGTTGGCGAAGGGTTATGATGAATAGAACGAGGACGCTTGAAAGGATGCAGAGTTGTAGGATCACAGTTTGCGAGTTGGGTGATATGATGATTTTCTGAATTTTGTACTCTTATAAAGCAGTTATGGGCGGACATCAATATATAATCTTGGACATGAGAAATTTTTAAATCCTGATGTATCTGTTGATTTCTGACAAACCACAGTGAATCTGTTAGGCTTCTAAGGATTTTATTTTGGAGGATGATGATCTTGCGACGATAATATTTCGACACGGTGGCACGTTGCTGCATAGAAAAATATTGGCCGAATTAGTGTAAGTTCTCTTAATATTGAGATTCAATTTTGATTTTTGCCCGATTAAACTGTAGATCGACATGAAAGTGGCGTTGGCTTTGTTTAAAGCATATGCCACATGATCCTTAAATGTTCATCATCGTAATTGTTAATCTAGAATGACTCCTAGATATTTTGTTGAACTAACAACTGGAAGTAGGGAGTTATCTATTGTAATGTTAATATAAACTGGCTGATATTTATGATACCTTCTAAATAGGACGATATTGCTCTTGCTGGTGCTTATTTTGAATTTCCATATTTTACATCAGCGATTTATGAAGTTAATTCCATAATGTAAATTTTCAATGGCATGTTGTGGTTTGCATGAACATGACAAAATAATGGCATCGTCAGCATATTTGGCTGTTTGACACAAAAGGGATTCTGGGAGATCGTTTATATATAAATTAAAAAAACGTCGGTGCAAGTACCGATCCTTGAGCGACTCCAGCTTTGAGATATTTTCTTTTTGACAATTCTTGTCCTAGCCTGGCGTGAAAAGTTCGATTTTTTATATGTAAACTGATTAATCTGATAATTCCTTGAGGAATTCTTAATGAAATCATTTTGTAAATTAAACAGGTATGTCAGATCCGATCAAGAGCTTTTTCTATATTCAAAAAGCAGGCTGCTATGCTTGATTATTTAGTAAAGTTTTCTCATATGTCCGTGTCTAAAGCCCAACTGGTTGTTTCTGATGATATTATTTTTCGAAATATAATCGTTGAGTTGTACTTGGATAACTCTTTCGAAGATCTTAATTTTCATTTCGTTTACCAAAGAAAGTTCAATGCATTTTGAAGGAATTTGTTACTCTCTCTTTACCAGCAAACATCTTTATCAAAATAATAGTTCATAGTTTTTAAAAGTGGCTGGATAATTTACTGTAAAATAGCACCTGAGTATTGCCAAGGTTCACCTTGTTATACTTGTCACAGGTAGCATGTCCTTAATGAGAGCTCGTTAAGAGAAGAGATTCATATTCAGAAACTGAAAGAAGAGAATCACAAATATTCCCACCAGTTAACCCACTCAGTCGCCAAAAATACCAGAGTTGACAAGTCCTTATCAGCTCGATCGTTGATGGACCATTGAAAACGAACTACCTGTATCAAAGCCCTTCAAAATACTTTAACGTATTGTTAAAATCTATTACTGTGATCTAAATTTAAGGATAAGTGAATTTTATACATACTTAAATTTAAAACTAGATGAAAATTTAAAATTTGAGACACAATCATGAAAACTTGCAGTTTCTTGTGCTGCGAAATCCGGTTGTTTCTTGTTGTTTTCGGTTGTTTTGGGGGTTGTTGTGAGATCCGATCACTGTGTTTCTTTATTCTTTAAGCAATATATGTTTTAGATATCATTTGGATAACAGTCTTAATGCAAAGAATTCTTGATGAAACCGATTTTCAAATTCCTAAAATTCTAATTTATTTCTCTCCTTGACTAACATGAATGTTATATCCAAGTGAATTACTTTTAGATTCGGAAATTTATGAAATGTTTGTTCTGAATTTTCGGAATCTACTGAAGTACAGAGAGGGTTACAGCGATTAGTATTACCTTTTTGGTTATATGACATTCATCTTTAAATTATACGAGAACAGATTGTCAGCACTTAAAGTTCGCAGATCATTTTCAGAAAAAGTAAGCCAGTTGCTTTGCTCATATCAGCGCTATTTTTGATTTAAAACTTTGATACTAAAGGGCGCTTGTTCCGTTATGTTACTGTATCTATTATATTTACTATATTTTATTGACTATACCTTTTTATAATATATCTGTTAGACATATAGATATTACATTATTTATACTATTCTTCGTTTCCGACTGGTGTTGTTACATGTTTTGTAGGGTATTTTAATGAGTGGCAGCACTGTTTGGTGAAGTTGAATGCAATTTTGAGCAAAGCCAAGGTTCTTTAATATACTAAGGTTAGGCCAGGAACGGAAAAAGTTGGTTGCTGGTAGTGACGTCACCCGGGAGACAAGACGCATCGGCCGACGCGTCTGCTACATGATTTTGGTAATGGAAAAAATGTAAACTAAAGCAAAATGATCATTTTATATGTGGTAGATACCAGAAATACCGGGTATATACTTTCCGATTAAGTATTTTGTTAAAGAAAATGTTTATTTTATGCACAGAATTCGTACGAATGCTGAAAATAATTGTAAACATTAAATTCTTTTCGTAAAGGAAAGCATTAGAAAATGAAAAACGATATTTAAGTTAATTAAGGGAAATAAATATTGTAAAACAAGGTATTTTTCAATATTTTTTCGTAGTATTGTTTGCACTAAATAAATCTTGTTGAACAGAACACATGATGGCATAACTGCTAAGACCATGGTAAAAACATAATCAAAAAGTATTATTCTATTTATTTTCATTGCTCATGCACTTTTTTTAACACAAATGAACTTTGACATTCCATGAGAAATATATGATCGTGATTTTAAGTTTACATATCTAAAGCAAAAATATATATAAAAAGATTTGACTTAACAAATTCATATTTAAATACCATAAAATTCTACAAATTTCTTAATATCCGTCATTATACTTTTAAATAGTATACTTATCACATTCTTTTTAAAGTGAAAAGTCACTTCATACTGATTCACTTCAGATTTTAGCAGAAGTGCATATATTTTCAGTATAATCTAAAAGTACTCTTATAATCCCTTACACTCCCAAGATTTCTATATAACATTTATCCTGACGTGATTATTTGCTATAGTAAATAATCTTCGATATTGGCATCCTATTCTTCCTTCCATACATTAAAAATGGAACAATTAAAATACATTTTCTTACACATATACGCACAATAATAATAATAATAAACTTGCCCTACATCTTAGTTTCGGCCCACCAGCGGCTGAGCGGTAAAGTCGCTGAACACTGGTAGTTCGGTTCGAATCCCGCGAACGGACTGGCTGCATGGGCGTTTTCGTGGTTTTCCTCATGTGTAACGTGTATACGAGCCAGTTTCCCTGAGAAAGTCCTCCACGAAGGCATCACACCTATTGCGCAGATAGCCCTAGTGTGCTTTGCCATAATTAAATACACCACCACATCTTAATTTCAATTCAGCCTGTACACAAATTAAATATTTTTAATTACTAATGTATTTTTTATCAGGTTGTTTCTTAAAATACTTTTGTTATACTCGAAATATGTGTTCAATATTGAATTATTTTCTTTCTCTTATAATTAAAAACAAGTTATATGGAATCAAAATTAAAACATATGCAGCAGTTAAATAACACTGAACAGAATATCTTACTTACACTTTCGCTATTTTTTCGCTAGCATTATACACAGATTTGTTTTCCTTCAGGTTCAAGCATGTGTAAGTTATATCAATTAAATTACATCACACATACCTGTATGCATCAGTTAAATAACACTGAAGGAAATATGTCACTCACTCATTCGATGTTTGCATCATAGTGTGGTCGAGAAATTGTTCTTTCCTCACGGTGAGGCATGTATCAGTTTACTTAGTTCGCAAAGCTTAACCCAGACGCTGCTTCAATACATAGAATTACGTTTGGGATGTAAAGAAAGTAACCAAAACATGTGAATGAAGTTGGATACTCGAATTTATTAACTAATCATTCAGGTACTCAGTATTGGTAAACATGACACTGAGTTTAAATATCTCACTACGATGTCTCATACACAAAATGAAGATTATGATAAAAAATTATTTAAAATGAGAAATTTTTCAATTTAAAGGTAAAATAGCAGTAAAATGAAAAATAAATGTAAAATTACATCACAGTTATGCATGAAAACTACATAAATTCATTAAAAAAATAGTTATTTTATCTGGTTGTAAAGAGTGTTTTCCGCCAAGAAACGTATTAACGTGTATAATTCTGACACAACGCTATAGCACAATTTGACACTTCCGCCTAGGTATAATAGCAAATTAACAACACAAATCAAATCAAACTGTTGATGCAACGAAAGTAAACAAACGCCAAGAACTAACGCTGTCACCCACATGACGTCATGCGTATGTGGCATAACTTTCTCCCTGCACTGCGCATCGCTCTTGGGCCCCCCCTGATATACCTTGCACCTACTCGGACATATTGAACTAAACTCAAAATGGAATCGGGCGAACTCTTTACTTCAATATCAGTGTACTCTCATCATTTGAAACAAAATGTATGTGGAACACGAGCGAAATATCGCGAGGGTCGTAAAGATACCGCCGTGAAAGTATGTCACATTATCTATAGCTCAAAACTTAAGTCAGGAATATGTAACAAAAAAGGGTAATTGGCTAGTGGAATAAATCTGATTGTGAAACCAAAATACAAGCATTTATTGACTTGCCTTAAAATTTCTTTGCATGGAAACAATAGTGAATTAAAATAATGATTGCTCACATTTTATGTGTGATGTGATATCGTTTAGTTCTGCTGCTATATTATAATCGCGGGAAAATTTTATAGTTAGAACTAAATTAATTCGTTTTATTCTTCATATCATACACTTAATGTGTAGCTGAGCTACTGTATCTTGAGTGTTGCCGAAGGCTAAAGGGATCTCAAATATTAACTAAAATATTGCGTATAAAATACAGCCATATGTCGTGTATGCTTATTCGTTACTGCATTATTGTTAATGTATTGGCTATTACTGTTAATTTTACTCGGGAGTTTTCTTATGTTTAAATAGAAGTCTTTTTAAAATTTAAATGAATATAAGTCGTATTTTTCTGAATATTAGTTTACAATTATTCATTTATGAAGTATGTGTTATATTTTGGCTGATTTGGGGTATAAGAAAGTGTGATAAAGTACCCTCTAAATGCAATAGCATAATCTCAGAGTTTAAATTAATTTATGCTGAATAACAGCACTCTGAAATGTAATTTTATAATACAACATATGGTTTCTTTCTTAGTGCTTGTTTTATTTATTACAAACTCATGAAGGCACATAGACAGATTTTGTTTTTAGAATGAAGATTAAGCTAAAATTGGGCAATATTTCATACCTGCATGCAGAGCCTGACTAAGGCAGGGGCATATGGGGAAGTTGCTCCGAACCCCCAAATCAAATAGATAGTTTATTTTACCTTACCTTTTTTAATGAACTTTTAAAATCAAAATATCAGTCAAACTTTCAGATATGCTATATTCTTTTAAGGATGGACATAAAACTGTTAGAAAATCTATAAAATTGACAGATTGATATTTTGTCTGACCATTAGAGGGGGTGACTATATAGCTATTTTAGGTAGAAGTCAATTTTCTTGTTATATATCTATAGGGAGGTCAAAATTTAAGTACCTCCATAAAGTTCGGTTCTTCATTACTGAAGTAGTGAAACGGAGGGCCCCCCAAAGAAGTTTTTTCCTTGGGTCCCAATTAGGCTTAGTCGGGCCCTGCCTGCATGCTAACTAAACATATTGAAGAACCCAGTGCTGAATTAAGTTGTATTCAAAATCTAAGGAAATGTACCCAACTTTAATATGTAAAATATGCCTTAGGTCAGATATTCTTAATGAGAAGAAAAAATCTAAAGGTTAATCTGTGGAATATGGTAACTTCGTGATTTTTTGGCGAAAATTTGGCAACCAACCCTGCTACTAACTAAACATATTGAAGAACCCAGTGCTGAATTAAGTTGTATTCAAAATCTAAGGAAATGTACCCAACTTTAATATGTAAAATATGCCTTAGGTCAGGTATTCTTAATGAGAAGAAAAAATCTAAAGGTTAATCTGTGGAATATGGTAACTTCGTGATTTTTTGGCGAAAATTTGGCAACCAACCACTAGCGTCTACATCCCAAAACGGCAGCCTATGAGAGAGGCGATTCTATTATTTTCATCGGGGAGTAGGGGTGTTAGAATGGTTTTCTGAGGAATGCAACGGCAGTAGACTATATGTTTGCTTACATTTGGAAGCTCAAAAAATTGCTAAACTGGATTGTCTTAGTTTCTACGGTTACTTACAGGGAAATATTAGGCAGTTTTTTCGGTTTGCTGATAGAGGGCAAGTAGAAAATTTACCTTTATAATCCGCTTTTATCTATTTAAACTTCAGAAGATTTAAGATGAAGAGAATATATTTAACACAACAGAACGCAATCTTAAGACTTGTAAATCTTTTAAAAGACAGCAAATTTTTAAACATTACTGTAAAAAATATCTTCTCTTTTAATTATAATAAATAATGAGATAATGCATGGATGAGTTGTTAATTATATGATAACTATGCATTTATAAAAAGTTTTTAGTGATGAACTATAAGTAATATTTTTAATTATCGATGTATTGTTTTTTTAAAAGATTTACAAGTCTTAAGCTTGGTTCTGTTGTGTTAAATATATTCACTTCATCTTAAATCTTCTGAAGTTTAAATAGATAAACGCGGATTTATAAAGGTAAATTATCTATTTGCCATCTATCAGCAAACCAAAAAAACTGCCTAATATTTCCCTGAAATTAACCGCAGAAACTAAGGCAATCCACCTTTGCAATTTTCTGAACTTCCTAATGTAAGCAAACATCGCGCACTGCCGCTGGCGTTCCTCAGAAAACCATTCTAAATTCCCTACTCCCCGATGAAAATAATAGAATCGCCTCGCTCATAGGCTGCCGTTTTGGGATGTAGATGCTAGTGCAACCAACCCTGCTACAGCAACCTGCTAGTTTTTGTTTGGACGCCGTTTTGTTGTCACGAAGTAAAAGCATGTTTTTTTTTTTTTTTTTTTTTTATACGCAACATTTTTTTCCAACAATCTGCTAGCCGAATTACACTTATATTAGAACTTTTATGGAACAAAAATGTTTAATCATGACAAAGATTAGCTGCGAAATTGGAAAAAAGTGCAGAATCGCAAACTGCTTGCCGCGTTTTTAAGAATTGCACATACACGGTATCATCCATGTGCACGTCGACCTATTTTCACTTAAAAAAGATCCCAGAATTGCACAAAAATGGCATCGTGCACAGTCTTGACTTTATCCATGTACACTACTAAAGTCCTAGCTAGTAACTTTTATCGCCTTACCAAAATGTCGCCAAACTACCTGTTACCATATTCCAAAGATTAGCCAATCTAAATTTAAATAAGTGTATATGTGTTTTTGAAGTTTTGGAATGGAGGGAGAGAGAATGATTGTCTAGTAATGGTGAAAGGTATGTGTGGAGCAAAGAGGGTTGAGAACAACTGCCTTAATCATATTTTAACACAGGTGAGATTAAAGAATTCTGAAATATGCTTTGGTAATACTAATACTGAATATTGCTTATAATCGTAGGAGATAGATCAGTGAATTGCGCTGGAGCCCGGCTCCAGTGCTTCTCAAATTTTAAGATAAATTACAACTTTAGCCGGAGCGCACGACAGCTCTAAATAAGATGAGCTTCGATACTTCTTTTTATAAAACTGAACCACAGTTTACAGGGAACAAAATTTAGAATTCCTAACGTTTTAGTTTAACAATAAGCAGACTTGCAATACTCTATTTCCCTAGAAATACGAACTCGTGAGAAGTTCAAGTAAAGTCTCCTCACTCACATGCCGAAACCTTTCCCTTTAACTTTCTGAAGCCGGCTGGTACAGCAGTTGTACCAGGAGAATGACATTCTCAGACACCGGCATTGGTACAACTGTCGTACCATCCATGCCCTCCCCATTTTAGACAATCCCCTGTCTGTAGATCTCTGGGTGGGCCATTGTCGCTGCTCAGAGTAGCCGCTGGCTATGCATTATTTCCCTCTTCTTATCAGTTTGGCTACATTTTGTCAAAAACCGCAGGTTTCGTCTCGCGCCAATATACTTGAAAATCAAATAGAGGCCATCTCTTTCTCAATCTGTCTCATAATTTGAATGCTAATTTTTTTAGTACTGACTTTTGCTATGATTAAAACGTCAGCGATTTTGCACGCTCTTTAAGCTTACCATATTTAATGTTTTTTAATCATAACAAATAAGAATAGATTAATATTTTAGATTTAATGCCCTTCTAGAAAATAGATAAAACCGCTTTTATCGTTTACTTCCTTTTCATACTTATGAATAATACGATTTTATTTTGACATTTTTTTGTGGAGTGCATAAAACCCTTAAGAATTGTTAACTCTTTCAAAGTGCTTCTATTATGTAGGCACTTTTGTCCGATTTATCAGGAGATAAATAAGAGGCAGTTGTATGCATAATAGTTTTTGTGATTTTCATTCATTCAGTGATTGCTTTCAATGATTTTCATTGATTGTAAATTAAATAAAATCAATTTATCTTTATACCCTCTTTTAGGATGACATCTGCCAAAAAGTATTTAAATATCAGTAAAGCTCAAGTTACTTCTAAGTTGAATCAAAACATCAGTTACATTGTATAAAATTTCGGCCAGTTTAATTTGCTGAAATTCTTATACTCCTCAAGAGATAAAGGGAATTCAGACAAGTTAATAAAAAAATATCTTTAAAAAAGGTTGTTATTTTGTCTGTAATAAGGTGTATGTCAACTTACTATTAAATGTATGAAAATTAGGATTGGATTACGGAAAAGCACGTGAACGCTATCTGCTTAAGGGGATGGATGCTTTCGTGTAAACCTTTTTAAGAGAAAATTGGGTTGATCTTTACAATATGGTAACTGGTAGTTTGGCGACATTTTGGAGGCGATAAAGGTTACTACCTGGGACTTTGGTAATAATGTGAGCAGTACTCAGTTCCGATTACGCATTATTTTGTGTGAGGGAAATGAGAGATCATGGGATATGTCATGTGATATTAATGGACGAATTACGGTTCTTTAATCGGAAAAGAAAAAGGGGGAAATCGGGAAAAAATCTGGAAGTTTTGTATTTGGCTTTTATTCTGTGTTGTGTGAAACAGTGTTCGTGAATTTTTGGATCCCATGGCCGTAACTAAAGTGAATTCGAAATGGGTATTTATGTATGTATTAATTTAATGTATGTGCTCATTTATTTTAAGTAGTGTTTTTGAATTTAATTATATTTTAATTAAATGATAGTTATTTGTGAATTTTATGTTTGTAGGAATTTGGTACACGTTTAAGTTGAAGTAAAACGTGCATGGAAATAATTTAAATATTTGATACAAAGTATTTGTAATGCTTGGCGGTATGAATTCGTTGGTGACGTGTATAATGTAATAGATGATTTAGAGGTAAAAGTTTTTGGATATTTTATTTATTTTATATGTGGAAATGTTCATATTTGGAAAGGGTAAATAC